ATCAAAGAATTTCTTCCAAACTACCGAACAGATTTGAACGAAATTTTGAATATACATTCCTAACTACCAAATGGTGTTTTTAGATTAAAAAAATTTTGATTATACCGTCGTTTGCGAGATTTTTTCATTTCACGGTCATTCTTGATTTCACTCTTCCATATTCGCTTTCGTTCGATAGTTATACAGATATAGGATGAACGACCGGCTTTTCTACCGGCTTGTTTAACCAAGAGCCGTTTACGTATAGCCGTATAACTCGCAAACGAAGGCAAAACGAAAAAAATGTGACGAGCCAAACATCACCGTTGCTGAGGTTAAGTATTAAAATACTAAATTTCGTTCAAATCTGTTCATTAGTTTGGAAGAAATATCTTGATTACTGCGAAGTTAAGCATGTATTGCGGTTTAAATCACGAATGAAACTCGCGAACGAGGGCACAAGCGAAAAAATTTTCACGAGCTAAACATTACCGTTCGGTAGATAGGACTGTAAATTCAAAATTTCGTTCGAATCTGTTCAGTAGTTTGGAAGAAATTCCTTGATCACTGTGAATTTCGGCCCGTATTGCCATATAAGCATGGCAAAAACAATTGAAGGTAAAATTCAAAAATTTTTCACAAGCTTTACATTACCGTACCGTTAGGTCCTAATGAATACGTGTACCACGTTTCATCGCGTTAACTTCATTAGTTTGAGATATATTCCTTGATCATTGAATTTGGAAATTGGTCGTGAGACCGGCCGCGAGTCCGGCCGTTAATTTGTCGGAGACGTAAACCCAGGAGAGGCTAAAAAAATATAACTCAGTACTCACTGCAGCAGTGAGTGACAGAGAGCGCATTTTCTCGTTGACGAAAACGTGAAGTCACGGACGGACAGGCAGACAGACGGACGGACAGACAGACGGACGGACATGGCGAGCACAATAGTGAATTTTTTCCATAAACGTGAAAATGCGCTAAAAACAGATGGGTGAAAAAAAAACCATCGCTGGGAGTCATGTGCTGCACGTGTTGTGTACAAACCGTCAAACAAACGTTCGAACATCTGACTGCGACTTCGGACTGTCGCCCCCCTATCGCCCCCCTATCACCCTCTTCTTCTTTACCGCCCCCCAAAATCCTTCCATCGCCCCTAGGGGGGCGATATCGCCCACTTTGGGAACCACTGTATTAAACCATCGTGCGTATCAATCTGATTAAACCATCGTGCGTATCATTCTGATTAAACCATCGTGCGTATAATCCGTATTAACCATCATTCTTATTAAACCATCGTGCGTATCACTCGTAATAAATCATCATGCCTATCATTCGTATTAAACCATCGTTATTATTGAACCATCATGCCTATCATTCATATTAAACCATCGTGCGTATCTTTCGTAATAACCGACATGTGTATCATTCGTTTTAAACCACCGTCTGTATCATTCGTATCAAACCATCGTGTACATCATCCGCATCACGCTATCATGCACATCATTCATATCACAAAATTTTCACAATAGTGACTTGACTAAAATCCTACCAAATAGGCAAATTCAAGTAGCGTATTTCATTGCATCGTAAATCTTTTAAATGTTTGATCGCGCTCCGCCCGCTCCGAGCGTTTTATTTCAGCTATTTTATAATTCGCAAACCATTTCAAATCTTTTATATTTCAGTTATTTTCTGATTCCTAAGCTAATGCGCTTGCCATCAGAACCGGACGCTAGTTTCCCACCGATCATATTTTAGTGAGGAACCTGAAATATGTTTCAGCGAAATAAATTTCAGTGTCGAGCCAAATGCTCGGCCCGATATCGACATGGAGTCGTTCAGCACAACTGATTGCTTGAGCGCACAATGTTTATTTTGGACAAACATTATCACCGAATTATCGCTCACTTCCATTAATTGCTCAGAATTTAATGAACTAATTGCTTGAACATTTATCTAGGCATATAATTTCAAACAATGAACATTGCGTCTGACGATGTGAGTAATTACTAACGCTAAATTTGTTGAATAAATTGTCGGCTGGACATTTTTGTTGATGAGTAATTTTGATATGAAAGCTCGTTCGATGTTCGATGCTAATTGATGACACGAAGAGTCAACATGGCTTATGAGCTGCGATCGCCAAAACAATTCGCTGAGGTGCATTATTTATATTTTGATATTAAAATACAATTGACAGGTCAATAATTCATTTTTTGATCGAACACAAATTTATTATTTTAACATATTTTAAAATAATCAATTCATGATGCTTTATAAAAATATTTTTTAGTAAGGCGCTTTGAATTGATTTTCATCCAGAATTTTATGCGAACGTAAAATATATCACTTAATTAGTATAGTATAGTATAGTATAGTATAGTATAGTATAGTATAGTATAGTATAGTATAGTATAGTATAGTATAGTATAATATAGTATAGCATAGTAATAGTATAGTATAGTATAGTATAGTATAGTATAGTATAGTATAGTATAGTATAGTATAGTATAGTATAGTATAGTATAGTATAGTATAGTATCTTCAGCCTTAAAGAATAGGCCTGGATAGGGCGGTCGCCGATTCTTGTACTTTTCTTGACTAGACTGGCCTTTTGATCAAGTCTTTTCAACGGACGGTAGATTTAAAATCGCTTCTAGATTTCAGTTGTTCCGTAGGATACGAAACATTTTAAGACTAAACATATGCTCCTGCATGGACTTGTCTTGTCTGTTCTTGAACGCGTTCATACTCGGAGCGTCAACAATATCTTCAGGGAGGCTGTTCCACATGTCAGTGACTCGAAGCGAGAAGAAATGTTGTTGCGTGGAGAAGTTGCAGCGCAGTTTCTTTAGTTTATCACTTCAACTTTTAAACTTCAATAATTACGCACAGCAGCAGTTCAGTAATATATTCTACTCCAGAGCTTCTTTCAATATTATTTTGATGCTTAATCCCCGATAAACAGATATCGAAAAGTTAATTAAAAAATATACGACGACAAAAAAGCACAACGATGGTCAATATATTCCGCTTTGATCGTCAAATTTGACTTCAATACCTCATAACCATAACCAACTGTCACCACATAACGGGTTAACGAAACATGTACAAAATATAATTATAATCTGGTAGCGGGGTCCTGTGAATATTTATCTCATCCTTTGTAAATCCGTGCAGAATGTGGTCCTTGTCTAGTTGATATTTTCATTTAAATCATTATTGCATTTCGTAATCCCATTGTATAATATTTTAATTAAAACTATTATTGATAGGAGTGATGAATAACGAAGCAAATTTAGCCGAAAAATGATAAAAATTAGAGGCAAACTATCATTTGAATGCCTGCATTATATTTTGTCTACTTTTGCAAACTCCTGTCAATTAAATTCAGCGTGAATCCTAGTCTAGCTTCACTGTCAGCGCCCGTAACAGTCCGAAAAGTATATTCCTTTATTGATCTTACCATTGAAGCCCATATCATTATCGGCTAACTTTTCTGTACTTATGTCTCTGTCCGAATTACTCTACCGATCTCTGACAATCTCTGGCAAGGCAAGGAAGATTTGCACTAATCTGTCGGGTAGCTGTAAGAGCAGAGAGGGCTGCTAAGAGAGGGCTGCTAAGAGAGGGCTGCTGAGAGAGGGCTGCAAGCGTTAGTGTGGCAGGTGGCAGCGTGAGTGTGGCAGGTGGCAGCGTGAGTGTGGCAGGTGGCAGCGTGAGTTGTGCTGGTGGCAGCGTGAGTTGTGCTGGTGGCAACGTGAGTGTGCTGGTGGCAGCGTGAGTGTGCTGGTGGCAGCGTGAGTGTGCTGGTGGCAGCGTGAGTGTGGCAGGTGGCAGCGTGAGTTGTGCTGGTGGCAGCGTGAGTTGTGCTGGTGGCAGCGTGAGTTGTGCTGGTGGCAGCGTGAGTTGTGCTGGTGGCAGCGTGAGTGTGGCAGGTGGCAGCGTGAGTGTGCTGGTGGCAGCGTGAGTGTGGCAGGTGGCAGCGGGAGTTACGCTGGTGGCAGCGTGAGTGTGGCAGGTGACAGCGTAAGTGGCGCTGCTGAGAAACGCGACTTGATTTTCATGGTATTTTTCAACTTGTTTTGTTTAGTATTTCTGTCGATGAATTCTTCAACGAATCGAGAATTTATAGACAACCTGATCTATGAGGACTAATGCTAATGCCCATAATAATAATAATGCTCTTGTGTGGACCGTCCTGACTTAGTCGAGCGTATCATTGCTGCGTGCAGAAAATGTGTCACCATTTGGACACCATGACCCATTATTTTTTTATAAGTGTGGTGGCTGGACTACACAATGCGTCTAAAAAGCAATAATATTGATAATAATAATAATAACAGTAATAATACTAATAATACTACTACTACTACTAATAATAATAATAATAATAATAATAATAATAGTGTGAATACATTCTCAAAAAAATCTACGGAAATTAAAACAAAGTTTTGAGTAACTTCTTGTGTTATAGTTGCCTCAACGACAGTGATAGGATGCAATCTAAGTGACGATATAATTTTTTCATTTATCTGCAGAGATTATATAAGAGAAAATATACATATTTTGATTATTTTTAGCAATAATTTCGATATCAACATGTTTAATTATTACCCGATATCTGATTAAGAAGTTAATGAAGATAACACTCTTTTCAGATTGATTTGGCAGTTCATTCTTAGATACATACGCTGTTCGATATGCTTACTAAAATATCAACTAAACTAATGTATTTTTTTTTAATTCTGGAACGTAAACATTATAATTTTTTTGAAGAAAAGACAGCTGTATTGAAGATATTGTGTATTGAATACAATTCATCAGCCACCTAACCTTCGTAGCTCATCACGCAACTCTTTCTGCATGCACGCAGCAGTGCTACGGCCATACACGCAACACACGTGGGGTGCACGCAGTGCAATGCACTGAGTTTAACCCCCGACGCACGTGCACGGAGTGAGCATGAACACGGAGTGTGCACGTGCACGGAGTGGGCATGAACACGGAGTATGCACGTGCACGGAGTGGGATACGTGCACGCAGTAGGGAACGTGCACGCAGTAGGACACGTGCACGCAAAAGGGCACGTGCACGCAGTAGGGCACGTACACGCAGTAGGGCACGTACACGCAGTAGGGCACGTGCACTCCATAAGGCACGTGCACGCAGTAGGGCACGTGCACGCAGTAGGGCAAGTGCACGCAGTAGGGCACGTGCACGCAGTAGGGCACGTGTACGAAATATGACTATTAGAACTGTTGATATGAGGCTAGTCTTAATAGTAGGAATATGACTATTAGAACTGTTGATAAGAGGCAAGTTTTACTAGTGATAAGAATTTTTTCAAGTCTTATTATTGAGATTTTTTCCACCTGCAAAAAAAGTACATACAGAACAATGAACCGATATGTAAACAGAACTTCAAAGCGCGAGATATTACAAGCTTTATGAATATACTTATTAGTTTCTTAGAAATATAAGTTACAGGAGCGCAGAATTACGGCAGTTGTGCAGCAGAATATCGGCAGCGAGCGCCGTTATATTTATGATACGTCAAGCATAAGAATTGACAGGGGCGGCCCCCATGATCCGGAGCGCAGAATTACGGCAGTTTTGCAGCAGAATATCGGCAGCGAGCGCCGTTATATTTATGATACGTCAAGAATAAGAATTAACAGGGCAGCCCCCATGGTCTGGAGCGCAGAATTACGGCAGTTTTGCAGCAGAATATCGGCTGCGCGCGCCGTAATAATTAGAAGTAAGGCGTAGCGTGCGAGGAGGGTTACCGTGTTTGCACGTACGCTGAATAATGCAGAGTGTCAACATGGCGCCCCCTCTCTACGCCAGCCCCCCCCCCCACCACCTCCGCGAGTGTTCGTACCGCCCCCCCCTCCACCTCCCCCCAACCAGTGTGTCGTTCGTGGATTGAAATTACCCATATCTGAGCCAACTTATATGAGTAATGATCGGTGATGAATAAACTTTTATCCTTAAATTTAAATTGCGATTAATAGCGTTACTAAAATAATTGTTACCCATATCTGAACAAGCTTATGTGAGTCATGATCTATGAAGTATTATTTTTTTTCTTTAACTTTATATTGTGATTAATAGCGTTACTAAAACTAATTGTTACCCATATCATGACTCACAAGCTTGTGTGAGTCATGATCTATGATGTATAAACTTTTATCCGTAACTTTATATTGTGATTAATAGCGTTACTGAAAATAATTATTACATATATCTGAACAAGCTTATGTGAGTCATGATCTATGAAGTATTTTTTTTATCTATAACTTTTTATTGTGATTAATAGCGTTACTAAAAATGATTGTTACCCATATCATGACTCATAAGCTTGTGTGAGTCATGATCTATGATGTATAAACTTTTATCCTCAACTTTAAATTGCGATTATCAGCATTACTGAAAATAATTGTTACATATATCTGAACAAGCTTATGTGAGTCATGATCTGTGATGTAGACATTTTTATCCTTAATTTTTCAAAGCGAATAACTGCATTGCGAAAAAATTACTCCTATGCATGTCTAAAAGGACCAGCGCTGTACAGGTATTCGCGAATACTAAATTGTGTTCCATCAGACGTAACACGACATTGAAAGAATTCAATATAAGATATTAGAATATTATAATATAAGGAATTGGAAGAATTTTAAATAAGAAATTTAGAGTAACAAATATGAGATTTAGCGAGAATTTTATATGATATAAAATTCCATAAAAATGCTCAAATTGCGCCGTACTTCAAAATGATTTCTGCGCACTAATGTTTTCACTCTGTGACAAACTTGCGCGTGCATTCCGACAGCATTAAAATGCTGAACTCACGCTTGGCATTACAATACTTAACTCATACCGTGGCATCAAAATGCCGAACTCACGCCATTGCATTAAAATATTGTACTCAGGCCGTTGCATTACAATGCTGAACTCACGCTTGGCATTACAATACTTAACTCATGCCGTGGCATCAAAATGCTGAACTCACGCTTGGCATTACAATACTTAACTCATGCCGTGGCATCAAAATGCTGAACTCACGCTTGGCATTACAATACTTAACTTCAACCGTGGCATCAAAATGCCGTACTCACGCCATTGCCTTAAAATGTTGAACTCACGCCGTGGCATTACAATGAAAAATTCACGCTTTGACATTAAAATACCAAACTTTTGCCTTGCCATTAAAATTCGGTACATTGTATTGTAATGTATTATTTTAATACAAAAAATTTTATTACAAGGCTGAACGGACATTGTGGCATCAAAATGCCGAATTCATGCCACTAAACAGATTTCAGCTTCGGCTTCCTTGCCTTCAGGAGACTGATTGTATTATTTGTATCTTTGCCTTGTGTGTTCAATGTAGAATTGTATTTTTTGAGCAATCAGTAGATACTAAGAATAATTATTACGAACAATTAATAATGTTACCTACCACCATAATTTTACTCACCATTATAATGTAATCCTCCATTATAATGCTGCCTACCATTATAATCTTACCTACCATTATAATGTTACCCACATTATAATGTTGCTTTTCACTATAACGATTGAGATTTAACTTTCAAATACTGCGTTATTGTCGTAAAGATTTATCATAGAGCAGACAACTTCAAAGTCGTTGGAATATAAGGAAACTGCGTCAGTATTTGGACACCATGACTCATCCACTTTTCAGAGGATCATGCGGTGCAGAATGCGTTGTTCTGCACCAATTAATACTATTTTTACATTCATTATATTCATCTATGGATATCCTGCATTCGCCGCATTCATTTATGAATTAGAATAACCATAACACTCATTTGTACAGCCAATATTAATGAAATGCATGGAGAATGTATTGATGGAATATATATTAAAGTGCAGCAACGTTGGTCAAAGATGATCGTTAATATACAGTTAAATATGTGTATGAAATGACATGATGACAGACGAGAAAGCTATGTTAGAAGAACATTTGCGTAATTATTAGATTATGAAACTGTTTGTTAAATAAGAATAGCGAACTTTAGGAACCATTGGCTGATTATGAACTAGCATTCGTCACTTCATTTTGCTCAGCTTGTTTTTAACAAGTGGCCTCTCAAATTTATTAAGCGATTGATTTAAATGGCTGTTTTTATTCCTGGGTGTACTTATTCCGTATTTAAATTGTCGCTTCAATTGTTGAGGGAATTATGATCTGGATTTAAATTGCCGCTTTCATCCATGAGTGCATTTTGCTTAGGATACAAAGGACCGTTTAAATAGCATAGTGTGATCGCGTGATCACTTGTATTATCATCAATGTAGGGTGTCATGCAATGAAAAAAAACTAGGATTTATTTTCGCAAACAAGTCCGAAGAAAAAGAGCAAACAAAAAGAGCTGCAAAATATTTGCGTGTCCACCGTAGTCGTTGGACAAACAAACTCTTGACACATCAACGGGAACTCTATTGATTGGCGCTGAGCTGCGCCGACCGGGTGTCGAACTTTCAAGATTTGAACTTGCAGAAAGCAACGTAAGTTTAATCGATACATGTAAAATATACAAATAATTAGACTCAAGTTTCAACGCTAAATGTAGAAAATGACATAATTTTTATTGATACGTGCATAGAACGAGGTAAATTTAATCGATTCTCGTTGAAAATGACGTAAGTTTCGTCGATACTTGCATTAAATGACGTAAGTTTCATAAATACTTGCATGAAATGACGTAAGTTTAATTTAAACGTGCAGAAAACGACGTAAGTAAAATTAACTTATGCAGAACATGACGTAAGTTTAATCACACACACAGAAAAAGACATAAAGCTCAAGTTTGAATATTTCGTTCCGAGAAAAGCATTTCCCGTGTCAATGATTCAAGTTAAGTAAGTTGCAGTCAAGTTTCAATCGACAATGGAACAGTGGAATGGGACTAAGAATATCTTAAAGATAATTGTAAATCAAATACATCCGGTACATTTTTAGCTCGATAATGCATTCATGATGAACTAAGTGTGTTTTGGAAATATTTCTTGCAAGTTATGAAATTCAGTCTGGCTATTTTTTATCGTTTTTCTTCTGAATGCAGCAATACAATTTCTCGTGAATGCATAAATAATTTCTCATGTATTAAGCAATAACGTTTCTTTTGTATGCAGCAATACAATTTTTCCTGAATGCATAAATAATTTCTCATGTATTAAGCAATAACGTTTCTTTTGTATGCAGCAATACAATTTTTCGTGTTTGCTGAAAGTCGCATTGAATCTGCATGGTTGATGATGAGAAGATTCCCAGAGTTATCTTCATTACTAAATATTTTATCATAAATAAAGATAAATGGTCAATATAAACTTCTTTAAACGTATTGACCAGGCTCACGACAAGCCTGGCATGAAAATCTTGCAATTAAATTACATGAACTCAATTTCGCTACCTCTAAAGAACACTGAACTGCTCCAAATTTTAATCTGACAGTTTTTTTAAATTTTTCTATAAGATATTTTGTTCAAGTTGGTCTGAGCTCCCTTTATTTTTGCTGGGAATTCTTGATAAAGTTTGTCAGTTCGCTCCTAGACATTATTTTTGGTAATTGATCATATACACGACGCAGAACATTTGGTTTAATTATAACATTCTAAGCATTTTAATTGATTGCGGAATATAAATCTAGAAAATTATGTGACTAAAAATGAATTACATTTTCAGCAAAGTAAATCTAAACACAATCTTTCCCCATGGAAATGAATTTCCTTTTCACTGCCCTTAACACACAGTTATGATGCGCCCATACGTTCTCAATAGTTGCTAATTGAGGTTATTTCACAGTTAACAGTAGCTAATTTATGTGTTGCCATTAAATTTTAATAATTTCAGTACCACTCTTGGAAAAAAATCAATTCCTCTATTCACTAAAAATTTCGCTATTTTCGCGCAGCTTCGCAGTCTCTTATAACTTAATTTCGCATTTTTAGAGCGCTGTAAAGTTTGCTGGAGCGAAACAGTGGCTTGGAAACAAAAGCTTCGTATAAGCAGATTACAGCCATCAGCTCTGAATATGAAAAAACAGAAGCTTAGCCCAGAATTTGATGTTAATGTTGAACGTTAGGAGATCTCCAAGCCAACTTAGTTAGAGGTGAGCGCATCTGCAAACCCTTGCTTCTTGGTCTCAGCCAGACTTTTTATCGACTGAAACATTCATATATCCTGGCTCTAGGGGGAACACAACTCGAGCGACAC